CCTTTTTATTCTAGGTTAGTCTGTGTACAATTTCCTTTGAGCAGGCTGATAGGTTAGATATCAACATTCTGCTGGGCGGTAAGCTACTTTATGATAAAACGGATATGAGGAAGGCTCTCTGGGATCAAGTAAACATTGTAGCAGAATGGACAAAGCATCCTTCTCTGGAAAGAATGATCCAGTTGGGAGTGAGCAGAAGGTCTGAACGATTGTTTACCCACAGGTGAAACAACAGGCTAACTCAGGTTACAGATAACACCATCAGTTTGGCAATTCCTCACTGGCTACTGAGAAAGGGACGTATGGGAATTTCCAGAGTGCAAAATCAGGGTATACAACTTCCATAGCAGATAAATATACAAACCCTTGCAGGAAAGACATGTCAGAATCCTTCAAACTATACATAAGGTGTAAAAACATACATATGTTCATTGGCACTTGTGAATACCCTGTTATGTCTAATGCGCAGCTTGGGACAGGAAGAGTTAAGTGATGTTCTCAGTAGATGGTTAGCTGCTCTACTAGAAAGACTGAGCCAAATGAGATAAAACTTGTTGCAATAAAGTCACCCCCCCCCCCCCCTCTCTCTCTCTCTCCAGACTGTTTTGACAAAACAAGTAGCCAGCTGTATATCATTACCAGAACATTCACAAACATATGCAGCATTTACTGGCTGTTGTATGGTTTTTATCAGTTAGTTTTACATTATGTAGTTTTCTATTGCTTTTTTAAAAACAGTTTGACACACACCATTATCAAACTCTACACAAAGCAGCCTGCTATCAAATCGTCTGCAGCTGTCTTTGAAGACTGGTATGTCAAATTGTTAATCAGTGCTCACAAACCCTAAGCCAAAGACAGAAGTAACAAGCAGACAGAAAAAAAAAGTAACAATGTTTGTTAATCATATACATTCTTTAATGAAACCTCATACTGATATTACATGCATACATTCACTTCTGCTCCAACAAGTGTCTAAACCAAAGAACTATTAAGAATTGACTATAATTACTCTGCTATTTGGTTACCATTCATGAGTTCTCAGAACTGCTTAACAAGTTTATTAGCAAACAAAGCAGTTGATTTATTAGTGTACACATTCACACAAGAAAAATCAACCCACATACACTCAAACTGGGAAGATTTGAAATTAAAAAAAAGACTAAGACTCTGGCCTGATGCTACACCCACAACTGCCTGATTTTGAAGGGGGGAGGGGGGATTCAGTACAAATACACTCAGAAGTAATGTATACTGATGTAGCTTTTATAATTTAAGGTATTGCAGAGTATACATTAAATAGTACATCATACTATACTAGCCTGGCTCACTCATAAATTCATATTTAATCAGGTACAAATATTGACATCAACTAAACAGATCATAGCATGAACTTAACAGCTTGTGCCTCACAAGGAACAAAAGAAATATAAGAGTTTAATAAAATGCAACCATTCTTCAGAAAACCTAGAAAATATCTGTAACATGTAGTAGGTCAATTACTGCCAAAAGACTTTCTTGATTTCAAACCAAATCTTTGATTACTATCTTGTGGACGTACAGCCTGAAGTGGATAATTTAAATCATCATTTTCATTATATGTTCTAATTTAGAAAGAAAAATGGATCTCTAGGCAAGTGGTTTCCTAAGCGGTACAATAAAGCAATCAAATGGAGCTGAGCACCACCTCATTCTAACTGTGTGAAGAAGTGGAAGGTTATATTTTAAGAAAATCACAGGTAGCCGTTTCCAAACAGCTCATTTATCTTTATTACACAATACAAAGCTTTTTTCTTATTTACCTTTCTATATTACTAGAAAGATTATTTAAGTAATATTTTGCAATTCTGAATGTCCTTTTAGATTATGCAAGAAACCCAGCTGTTGTTTATGAATAAACCACTGCTCTGTGTTACAGACTTCAAAAGCTATTTCTTACAAACATCTGGTTTGGTACATATATTCCACTTCCAAAATGAATCCTGATGCTTTGCAAACAAAGAGCTAGGGCTTTAAGTACTGCCAGGTTGAAAATGTAAAGGCCATTGTATAATTAAACAGTGTATCTATACTAATGTATTCTGATCTGAGCTTGTATGTCTCAGAGACACCTAAGAATCCACAAAACTCCTCACACAATGTAATTATGTACTAATTCTTTCTGAAGTCAGTTATTCGTTGCTACTGTTTGAGAGCCTGCCACAGTGAAGCTGACTGTACTAGCTGTATCAATGCTGAAATCCTGTATACAGAAACAAAATAATTTAGTTTTTCAGACCTGCATGTGAAACACAAAGCTAGGCAAGCAAAATACAGAAGGATACGACAATAACAAATTAGTAGCATATCTTTTACAACAGTGAATTGTCAACCTGGTTGATGGAAAAGGAGGAAAGAGGGAATCCAAGGGGATTTCAAGGCAGGTGTCAAGCAATTTGAATATAAATAATGTGGACACAAACAATACATTGCACAATTTATTGCCAGGCATATTTTGCTGTATCTCGTCAGGTGCGTTACTACAGAGTTACACAAACATTAAATGAAGCACAAAACTGAATAAATCCAACTGAAATGCAAATAGTTTCTGCCGACACATTGTGTGTATTTTTTGACCGCCGGAAGCTCACCGTAGTCATTGACTTACCAGGGTAACTTCAAATTTACAATAAATTCTGTCTGCTTACAAAGGAGAGGATTGCTGATTTCAATTGTTAAAGCTTCGGCCATTCTTAACAGTCTCCTGTTTGGAGTGTGGTAAACAAGGAAAGTACTGTCTGTGTCAATTACGTGTCTGGAATTAAGTAGATGACATCCTATGGAAGAAGCAGGTTCTTTCCTCTTGGCTGGTCTGGATTTAGATATAATATTTTAGATCAAATATTGATAGGGATTGACAAGACTTCCGACCGAAATGGTCGATAGCCAGCTGACCACCTAAGCACTGAAAAGTCATTTGTTTCCAGCTAGGTTTTGCTGATGCAAACACTCCATCTTTAGACTGGGAGTCCAAAGGTTCAGCTGCCCAGCTACTGAGTAGGTTGTTTGGTGCAACACTGTGAACTGTAGATTTTATGAGGATAGATTTTCAGTTGTGCCTGCAGTGCGTTGTTGACTGCATTAATATGGCGGGTGGCCGATTACATTCAGAATGGCATGTACTTTCGTGGATGCAATGCCAGCTTTCAAGACTGACCCTGTATGCCCCAACAGGGAGCTGCAATTCTGGTGTAGGACCATTAGTGTTGGCACACCTGACAGCTAGCTGCCTTATGCATTTTTACTATGTGTGTGCAAGTTTCTAGATCTTGCTGGAACCGTCAAGTTTTTAAAATGGGGGTGTGAAAGACTTTTTGTGTGACGTCCACTGGGACAGCTATGGGGCGACCCCTCCAGCAGTGATGATAAAATCTTGACTACAGAACTACCGAATTCTTTCAGGTAAAGTCCAAAAAAATAAATTTATAATAGCTCATGTATCTGTGTTTCAATATAAAATTAACTGGTAATTACTGCAAAATATAAGTGGATTTGTCCTTCCAAATAAGGTGAGATGAAAGTAACACTAGGAAAATGATGAGTATGACTTTCAAAAATAGTCCTGCAATTGACAATAAAACACTGGTTTTCAGTAGTCTTAAATAATAATAATTCAACAGTAAAATTATTTTACTGTAAACAAATCAGCAGACTGGACATTTCTGTTTATTCCTGTAAAAATAGATTTCACCTGCCAGTGATTTACCAATGAACATCAGTTTTAATAGTGCTCTTGACAGAGCTCATCAACGAACATTACATCTCCCCCCGATACTTCAATGAGGTACAAGGTGGAAGAGAAGAAGAAGAAGAAGTGATTCACTAACACATTTCAACCTAAAAGTCTATTCCAAAAGTCCTGTTGAACTGTAGAAATATGTAACAGTGTAAGTTGTTTGAAATCTGGCATGCAACCTGTTAATAATGTCACTAAATTTAAAAAAAAAATTTAAACGAAGATCTAGTTTTCTTTTCTGCTTATCTGCGGTAAATTTAAAAAAGATATGCTGATTCAAAGCAAACAATCGGCATGCTTACGATAACTTGAGTCAACTGAGTATGTCAAAGGTGTTTCAATCTCAGGTGGCCATCTCCAGCATAAATCTCTATAGAGTTGCAAATTTTTCATGAGTAGGGAATAGGCTGTCAAAATAATCATCAAGCATTGCTGCATTGTGAACGGATTTCCAAGCAATCTACAAGTCAATTACTGTATATTGTACTTTTCAGAGGTACAAAAATTGTAAGTCAAACAAAGATCAAAGAAATTCATCACTTTGAGAAAACAGCAGCATCTGCACAACTGTAAATTATAGAATCATTTAGATATAGGAAATCTAATGCCACATGCAAAAATTTGTGTTGGTCCATACAGATTTGGTGTTTGTTAAAGTGTGAGGCCATGAATTTTGAAATTGAATGTTGAATTAACAATCGACACCACAGCACTCAGGACACTCCCATAAGTGCTCAGTTCCCATCTTCAGCAGCAAGCTTAGAGTTCCAATTCCGATTTGACCCGCAACCGTCTGATTGTATAACTGTCTCATCCTTCCCCTGAGTGTTGAGCGTCGACCAGATCCCCTGGTAACTCCTCGCAGCGCCATTCTCCTTAGACTGTAATGATCTATCTGCGCCTCCTCACTGTTCACTCACTCCCAAAGGGCCCTCACAATATCTAACTTAATAATAAAAAGAATCATCGCCGGAGCTATATAGTGCTTGCTCTGAGCTTGATGCCATCTTCAGGTGGCAACGAAGACAGTGGGAAGTTTTGAAATAAACTACAAGAGCGGTGTAGAGAATTTAGTGCAGCATAACTGTATTATGGTGTTTAAATGTATCTGATTATGCTCAACTTTTTTTTTCCTATATAGTTTGGTAGAATCACCAATTTAAACAGGGACACAAATTATACAGAACTTACTCTGAACCTGGTAACTGATCGTGCAAATACATCCTCAGTCGAATATATCCTCCTTATCTGCAATGTACTGAACAATATCTCTTGGCCTCATCAGTCTCTCAGAATCTGCATCAGGGATTTCAAAGCCTTGAGGATGAACCAGAACAAGCAGCTAGATTAACCAATGTCTGTGTTGCATGCAAACATATAGCTAAAGCAACAGGTTGAAAAGAGATTACCTTAGACCAGTGGTTCTCAACCTTCCCAATGCTGCCACCTTTTAGTACAGTTTCTCATGCTGCAGTGACCCTCAACCATAAAATTATTTTCATTGTTACTTCCTAACTTCAGTGATTGTGTGTTTTCTGATGGTCTTAGGAGACCCCTCTGAAAGGGTCATTGGACCTCTCAAAGGGGCCATGACCCACAGGTTGAGAGAGTTACGTTAGCTAGATGCTTTTCTGTTGGTTTAAAGGTCTTGGGCTCAAATTAAGAATGAAGCAAATTTTTAGAATTGACCTTGGAATCAAAAGTAGATGAGATGATGTGGACTGCATCACCCACTGAATGCCTAAACAGTTTACAAGAATACAGGCCTAGCAGTATTTGACTAATCTGTCAATAATATGAAGTGTTCTTTATTTTTTTTTAAATATATATATCTTTTAGGTTAAACAAAATGATAAAATTAGAAAAATTAAAGTCACCGGCTTTAAAAAGAAAAAAGAAGACACTAATATAATCACATGTATTTTCTAAAAATCGCTGAGAAAAAAAAAGACACAAAATGCACAGGTCCTCTTCAATAGCTTGTGTTTGAGAACAATAATAAGTAGGTGAACAGTGAAAACAGTGTTGAGCTGAGCTAAGCCAAGAACCAACATAACTTTGAACATTACCATAAGTGCTCTATCCCCAAATTTAACAGCCAGCAAAGTGTTCCAATTCTGAAGGTAGCAGTAGCAGTATGATGACATGTCTGTCTTGTATTTCCTCTAAGTGCAGAGTATCAGCCAGAACCCTTGTCACTCCTCTATAGACAGTAATAATTTATTTGTGATTCCACATTGTCCACTTGCCCCAAAAGACGCCTCGATCACCTCCAGCTCGTCAAGAATCAACTGACCACCCAATGGTGCGAATGAAACCAGAGGGTTGCTAGACTGGATGGTAAGGCAGTCACAACACAGTTTAGAGAGTGTAGGGTGGGGCCATTGTGGTGGAAAAGGTCCACAGAAAAAGAAAAAAAAGACATGAGCGAGAGACACATACATTCAATTTATGCCTAAATGTGTGTGCCAAGTGTAAAAAATAAAAACAATAATCAATCTGACTCACCAAATTCATCCTCTATGGCCATGATAATTTCCACTTGATCAAGACTGTCAAGACTAAGATCATTTATAAAATGGGAATCCAGGGTCAACTGAAATGTGAAGAATTGAAAAAAAAAAATAATATGAGAATGCATCACTCATGTAGGAACTCATTCTTTACTAAGTAACTCCCCCTTCTCTTCTTCTTTTTGGCCTTCACCTGTTGTAACTTCTGGCAGAAAGTTCTACTTGTCTGTCCACTTCTGGACATTAGTCTTGTTCCATAACTTGAGTTCTGCAGGCAGATACATTTTACAGATCTGGTTTATGTTGTAGATGCACTCCGACTTCAAAGGAAACTAGGTAACTCTTGTTTATATACCAGAACTGACTAAACTCACACCGGTTTGGTTATCTTATACCTTCGGCAAAAATTGTGATTTAATATCATCACAAGGGTCCCTGGGCCCCATTGGGAAGCAGAATGTTCTAAAATGTAATTAATGAGAGGTCTGCTAAAATTGTATGTGTTGGGGGGAAAATCAGTTATCACAGCCTAACTGTAGACCACAATACAACATGCCAATCTTTTTAAAGCGAAGTAGTTCAGTATTTTAGGTGTGATTAAAAAAAAATGTGTCACTCACTAATTACTAATTAGGTTAGTTGCGTATCCTTTACAGGACGTTGCAGAACCAACCACAACAGCCCCTGGCGGTTGTGTTGTTTTTCTAGGCAAATTTACGTCCAGTAGTTTGCCACTGCTGTCCGGACGGTCGGCTTTCTTGATACCACTGTCGAAACCAAAGCAAAGTGCATGGCTCGTAGCTGGGATTGAACCCGGCATTATGAAGAGTTCGCATCGACTTAGCCACAGAGCCAGCAATTAATAATTACAAGTGTTTAAATTATTTACTTACTTCTGTGACTCAGTTTTCACCATGACCATACCATGTTATACTTAATCTCTACCAAAATGGCAGTTATGTCATTTCCATCAGGTCTGAGTGATTCAATTGCTTACCAAATCAGCGTACATGAGATGTGTCTTGTGTAATGCTAACAGTGTTTTAAAGCTGTGATATGATTACTGCATGCGTTAATGTTTGTTCTGCTGACCATGCAAGTTCTCTGGAAGCAGCGGTTGTCTCCACAGTGATGCTTGCTCCAGTTGCCTAGTAAGCTCAATATTCTCATTCTTTTTATCATCCTCTGTGGCCCTTGTTCCACAAATCCCTCTGCACAGATGAGGATGTCTTCTGGATGCAAATGCTGATTCATCAGTGTACTTATCTCTATGTTCACAGTGGTGGGAATCTGGTACCTGCAGTATCATCCTAGTGTGAAGACAAACCTATAATCTTATAATGTACATACCATTACTACTTGATAACAATTAGTGTTAGTTTGGATACACGTTATGACAAAAATTAGGCAGATAAAGATAATTGTCCCATACCTTGTCAGGGTTAATTTTATCGTACAATCTCAACACCAGTTCAACACGCTTCTGTATAGATTCTAACGTCAGTGGTGGCTTCCCTGCATACCATCTTAAAGGTTGTGAGAAGAATGGCTGCAATGTAATCATAGTTAACAAAAAGTTATTCACTACCATGCTTCTACTCTGAGTCACAGCTTAAATTCTTGTAACAAAGAATTAGATATTCACTATGATATTTTGAACGTTTTATTTACAAACATAAGAAAAGGTTGGCAACACTTGTCATTTTTGCCTCACATTCCGAGTGTACTCGAATGGAAATCTAGCCATCTCAGAAAACTGCAAAAATGTTACAATCAAACTATTTAACCAGCTACTGTTTATCAGTGTTTACAGAAGAAGTAGCCCAAAGTCAATTAGTCATCTTCCCAGATATTTACTAGGTATCACTCATTTTGTTCAGGTTCAAACTATATGTAAGTGTTTTACAATTTGAAACTGTCAGTATTTTTTTCCTTTTAAAAGCGATGTCAAAAATGTGGGCCACCTTCCGAATAACGGTCCCAAATTATCGAGGCCGGAAATATTCCCTAACAGGGCCTCAGTCACATGTCAACTGCAGACTTCCGTCACAACCGAGAGTATCTCCCACCCCGCTAAGTGCGGCGTGCGTTTGGGCTAAACTAAATGGCTGGGTCTCACGAGCAAAAAAAATGAAGGAAGCTGCAGGAGATGTGGTAGCTGCTGCTCGTGAGTCCCAGCCATCTAGTTTAGCCCCAATACATGCCGCGCATAGCGGCGTGGGAGACACTCTCGACGGTGGTGGTAGTCGTCAGAAGTGTGCAATTTAAGTCGCCAGAAGTCCACAATTGACATGTGACTGAGGCCATGTTAGAGTATATTTTCGGCCTCGATAATTTGGGACCGTTATTCTGAAGATAGCCAAAATGTGTCTTAGCAGAGCCAAGCCTCTATATCACAGGGATGTGTAGCCTGTCTGCTAAGGTATAAGAATTCGGCTACCCTCCGACTAACGGTCGGCAAAGATGGCGGCCGCACAATATCTTTTCGAGCCACAGCCGCGTGTCAATTGCCCACTAGCGGTCACGAGCACACCGCGGCTGCTGCTCGTGTGTCCTAGCCATCTAGTTTAGCCCCATTCCACGCCACGTGAGCGACGTGGGGGGACACATAGCGGTAGTCGCCGGAAAACCGCAAATTAAGTCGCGTGACTGTGGCTCGAAAGGATATTTTGCGGCCGCCATCTCTGCCGACCGTTAGTCAGAGGATAGCCAAGAAATCTAAACATATCCTTTAAAAAAATCATTATGCTGATGAGAAAGGTGATACTGAAAAGATGCCAAGACAGAACATAGGATACAGAGTGGAGAAATGACTATCAGTCCAATGTGACATGTAAATGGTCGTTCATAGTAAAAGGATGATGATCATGATTTGCTTTAACCCTCTTAGCACGGACGGGCCGATTATCGGCCGCCGGTAATCTGGCCAAAAACACGGAACGACCGATCATGTTTCACCTCGACACCGTTAGAAATCTCCTATTTTGAAACACTGAAAGTGATTATTTTATATTCACTGCTGTATTAGCTTTACACATGGCGACTTTCTAGTGTTTGGCGTTCGAAGTGAAAATCATTGTTGAATTTTTTAGATAGTGACCAGAACCGCTAAAAGTATGTCTGACTCGTATGTTTCTGCACCTGAACTTGATATTGATGAAACATTTGAATTATCAAGTGATGAAACTAATTCTATTGATACTGATGCAGGATCTAGTGTTAGTGATAGTGGGGAATCAGATAGGGACGCTGATCAGACCACAGCCCAACCATGGCTCAGGGTATATCCACCCGAAGATGTTGACACTCCGGCACAAAACGTGTTTTGAGCTGACTGGTCCAAAATACATGCCACCTAAAGATGTTATTGCTGTTTCATATATATATATATATATATATATATATATATATATATATATATATATATATATATATATATATATATATATATATATATATATATATACCTGTTTTTGACTATTACTTACAACAGAAACCAAAAGATATGCAGCTCAGTTTATTGCAAAAAAAGCAAATATCCTGAAGTGTAGATCTATTGTTCAATGAAAACAAAGCCAAAACGAAAGTGCGCAGTTTGGTTGCGCAGAGAAAACTTTTTGTTTCTGAGACGCAAGTTTTCAACAGCTGTTTTTTACATCTCATCTCCACAAAAACCTACATATCTATGATATCTCAGCTCAGAAATGACATACAAGCCTAAATGAGGTACCATTGGAAAGGGATTGTTTACAGCTATCTAACTGTGCTGGTTTTATTTGTATAGAGGGCATTTTAAAAATTTGACTAAAGTATCTAATATAATAGTAATAGGGCTCTACTGGCAAATCCGGACGAAGAATAAACAGCCTTGGACGACTTAGTCAGAGTTATCTCCCGTCGCCGCACTCCAAACAGTGATCGGAAAAGCCACAACGAAACAAAGAAGACAGTCACGTCGACATCAGGGCTGCCAATGCTTGGTTGTTTCCCCCAGATCTGGTTTTTTTTTCGACGCTGCAGGACAATTCTGGGTGTTTTTTTTTTTTGGGTGTGTTTTGTTTGTTCGTGTTTGCCGATTTGTATGCTTTAATGATCGATAAATTTGCGTGGTTAGGGGGGTAGGGGTTAGGGTTAGGGAAGTAGGATTAGGATTAGGGTTAGCGGTAGGGTTAGGATTAGCGTTAGATTTGACAATTTTGACGCCGGAGTTCCCTATAATCGCTCACAGTCCCATACACACACACAAACAATCGAGGGCCTCTGGATGCTGGTCACACGCACAATTCGCCAACGATTGGGGGCACCAGCCGCACGCTATTGGCGTCATATTTGGCAGAGTTTAAGTGGCGCCACTCCCACAAACATCATATTGTCGGCCAGTATTTCGAAATCCTACGTCAAAATTTTCACATCTAACCCTAACCCTACCCCTAACCTTAACTCTAATCCAACAACCGCATGATGATGACTACACAACCATTCACAGTGCCTCACGCAACCGTACGCAACTGTGCACGCAACCGTATGATGATGCCACGATGTCTCACGCAACCGTACGCAGCCCTACACGCAACCGCAGGATGATAGGTAAGTGTGTCGTTTGTTTCGTTTGTTTTCCGATTACTGTTCGGAGTGCGGCGACGGGAGAAAACTCTGACTAAGTCGTCCAAGTCTGTTTATTCTTCGTCCGGATTTGCCAGTAGAGCCTAGTAATAGTATTCATTTTGCAGTTTTGCCAACAATTTCTATTACTCCACATTCTGACATGTGTACTTACTATTAATATAATAATGTTAATGTTATTAATTTGAATACTTGATACATACTGATTGTCAGCTGTTATAAGTGATAATTACAGTTTTAACTTTTAATAACACTATTATCACTGTTATAAATTACCAAATTTCCTGTGGTGTCTCTAAGAGTTTACAGATGACTGAGGTAACAAATAGTATTTGAAATACAATTTCATTATGAAATGATTTATAAACAAGCTTCGTTGAAAAAATAATTACCGACTGCAGAATCTGTAACTGCAAGGGACGGCTAGAACAGTGATGATGACAATTTAACTGACGCATCAAGGCAACTGCCCCTAGCCTAGGCACCGTGGTACGAACAAGAAAGTTCGCAATCGTCGAAAACGACCTCACGTTCTTCAGCAACGTCGCCATCTTGTACACAAATAGCCCAGTGCACACATCAAGGGGTCATAACCAAGGTCGTTTGTCCATAACTTTACGACATTGACAGAAAGCAACATGCACTAAGTTATCTATTACCCCCCCCCCCCCCTAATCCCCCCCTCCTCCTTTTTGGGTGGCTTCCTTTTTTTAAATGGCAGAATAAGAACACTAATAGTAATGTTCCCAAAAAGTATTATAACTCTACTTAAAAAAAAAGGTCGTAAAAAAGAGTTTTAAGCGCTATGGTAGAGTTGAGTTATGTTGATTCAAGAACCGACATCACAGAACTCGTGGCATTCACATAAGCGCTCTGTCCCCATCTTCAGCAGCCAGTGAAGCGTTCCGTTACTAATGGTGCCAGTAGCATTCTGATTAAACGTCCGTCTTGCTTTTCCTCTGAACATCTGTCAGAACTTCTCGTCACCCCCCCCCCTTTTTTTTTTCTGCATCAATCACACTAGACTGGTGATCCATCTGCTCGTCCGAACTGTACACGTTCTCACACAAGGCACTAACCACGTCTGCCTTATCATGCATCAATATTCCACCAAGTTATGCAGAGTCAGCCAGTCTGTCTGCCTGTTCATTTCCCAACACACCAGCAAATCTCGTTGAAAAAATCCAGACAATACTACTCACACGTGTCCTCCGCAGTGAAGCTTGCCACTCTGCTCGAAGCACACCTGTCCTGACCTTCGTCAGCATGCTTTCTGAGTCAGTTACAATCACAATGTGTGTGTGTGTGTGTGTGTGTGTGTGTGTGTGTGTGTGTGTGTGTGTGTGTGTGTGTGTCGTGTTCTCTAACCAAAAGCTGCAGTGACCACCTCCACGTCCATTCTTAAGCTGTATGTTGTGGTATCATATGCTAGGCTCTCCTGCACCAAACGTCGTTCATTAACTTTTGCTAAGAAACCCTAAGCACTTATTTTGCCTCTTGACACTGAACCGTCTGTGTAAATAATCAAATCCTCTGAGCTAGCATTATCTTGAATTAATTGCTGAATGTCCACTTCTGTAGCACCTGCTGGCCAGTTTCTGCATTCCCGGCTCAGTGTGATTATGACAATACACAAGTTTGGCTGTTCAGGTCACACCTTGACCCACTCCTCTCCTCGCCTTATGTTCCCAAAGATGCCTACCTGTCTGATTGTGTCTTCTGCCAGAGCCATCCATAACTTCCCTCTCATCAGCCGATGCGCCCAGAGCTTCGTGCAAAGGATGGTCTGCGACTGCAGCTACCTTGAGATATGACTTCGCCTCCAGCATCTTGTGCCTACCTGCAACAGTCGGCAAACCAAGGATGTATCACCACTGGGGTGTCTCTGGTGCAACTCAGAATGACCCGCATAGATGCGTTCTGTATGCGCTCTAGTTTGTCCATCTGACTTGTTGAAACGGTAAGCAGTCCCAAGGTCATGATCAACCACTGACATGAGCAGGTGCTGATTCAGTGTAAATATGGTAGAAAACTAGACATGTAAATTAAAGCAATGTTTCCCGTTGTGAATTTGAACAAAGAAGACACCAACAATAGATTGCACAATTTATTGCCAGACATTTTTCGCATATTTTAATTAATTGTTACTGTGGTATGCACTGGTAGATACAGCGAATTTTACCTGGCAATAAATTGTGCAATCAATCGTTTGTGTCGTCTTTGGTCAAATTTAAATAAGTCAAGAGTTGAGAAAGGACGCTGACGTTAAATAAGACATACATACAGTTAGATGCCTCGATAACAATAGGACTAGAGTGTCTTTGCATTGGGACCCAGTGTAAAATGATTAAAGATGGGTTAAAGTAAAACGAAGAAGGAAATCTGAGGCGGGTGTTAAAAAGATAGGGACATGGCGTGAGCTACACGCTATGGTAAAAGTTCAAAAGCTAGGACTACTTTTTGTAAGTTGGTTGAGGGCCTATGCTCCCCTGGGGCTTAAAGTGAAGAAGAAGAAGAAGAAGAAGAAGAAGAAGAAGAAGAAGAAGAAGAAGAAGAAGAAGAAGAAGAAGAAGAAGAAGAAGAAGAAGAAGAAGAAGAAGAAGAAGAAGAAGAAGAAGAAGAAGAAGAAGAAGAAGAAGAAGAAGAAGAAGAAGAAGAAGAAGAAGAAGAAGAAGAAGAATCATTAGGGATAAATATAAGAGGATTTTTACTAAAAATATTATATAAATTACAACTTATGATTTTCACTCATAACATTTTCTTTAAAAGGAGGGGAAAGGGGATATGGGGGTAGGGGGGGGGGTAGGGAGAAGTGGGTGTAGGGGGTACTGTTTAGGATCACAGAATCGTATGTCACGTTCACTGTCGTCTGTTGTTCCTTCCTCCATATAAACCTTTTCTTATAATTTAACTCCCCCCCCCCCCTTGACCCTCCCCCTCTCTTTGCGTCTCCTTCTTCCCCAACACATCCGACTGTTTTTCTTGGTGAGTAATGAACATTCAGACAGATTGTCTGGATCTGCACCACTGGGTGGTGAATTGATACATGACAAGGCAGATATGGTCAACGCCCTTTAGGAACAAGCAACGGAATCAGTAGAGAAAGTACCTGTCCTTGACATTCTCTTGAAGGAAGTTTTTCGCCAGGGACACAGATGAGTATCATTTATTGTGTACATTAGTCCCATGTAGTCACTTTATAGTTAGAGCATATTTGTGTATGTGTGCTGTATTGTTCTTTATGTGCTGATGAAGGCTAATCGCCGCAACGTCCTTTGTTCATTGCGATCGATTTTGTAAAGCTAACATAAACTATTTGTTTTTCTTACCAACTGTTTCTCTTCCCTAAATTCCTCTAATTTCCTTAATCTTAAAAAAAAATCTTTCGAGACATCGCTTTCCTGGCCTACCTTTATTTGTGTTAATTCTGATCATGGTTGATAAGCTATCAGTTTAGACTGCCCTTCGCTGGTCTGTTTCGGTTTTATTGTGGCCAGGAAACTGTTGTCCTCTTCTAGATGCTGTTCTCTGATGGGTACCTGTAACTGCTGGATGATTTCTCCCTCGGATGAGGAGGCATCTCTTCCGATTCCTATTCGTTTTCACACACACACACAAACACACACACACACACAAACCTCACCACGTTCATCCTGCTGTTAGCAAGTCGAAGCCACTAACAGTTTCCGGTTATATTTGTGTTCTGGTTTATTGCGCCACTTTCGTGGCTAAAGTTCTGTTATTTGCGCCAGCTTGCCGGCTTAGTCATTTTTCCCTCAAAGTCAGTCTCTCGATCTTTTCCTGTGTCCGAGTGTGTTTCCCTTGTCCTTATATTTCTAATGTTTTCCTCTTGGTGAAGCATCTCTCTCTCTCTCTCTCTCTCTCTCTCTCTCTCTCTCTCTCTCTCTCTCTCTCTCTCTCTCTCTCTCTCTCTCTCTCTTTCTCTGCTGCCTGCATACATGTGTTGGTTATTCGTCCCAAAAGGTTTCAGACTGGCCTCCTTGCTACTGGACTCTGTGTGCTGCATGTCCGTCCATCCATCCGTCCGTCTTTTCTTTTAGGAAAAAAAACGAAAAACTCGACCACGTTCAACCTGCTGCCAGCCAACAGAAGCTGCTGACAATCCCCGGTTATATTTGTGGTTCTGTTTTATGTGCGCCACTTTCGTGGCTAAAGTGCTGGTATTTGCGCCGTCTCTGGGCTTAGTCCGTCTTTCGTCCAAGTCAGACCGCTCGTTCCCTATCCTGTTATCAACTTTGTTGGTCTTGACCTGGCATTACTGATGTTATCCTCTTGGTTCATGCTCCTTCTGATTTGGCTAGGGGCATTTCGTAGGGGAGCGAGCTTCTCAACACAACGTCCACCAAAGATTTTAAATTTTGAGTAGTTTACTTTGCCAAAAAGTACTGAAAACAGTTTTTGAGTTTTGATAGATCCGAAATCGATGCATGTCTGGTTTGACTTTGTTATCGGCTATATGTTCATAAACGGGCCATTTCTATCGGGTGATTCTTTCTCTGGTAGTGCGCACTGTTGCCATGACAAGGACAATAAGATTTTAGCGCGTGGCTGATTATCGAGCAACTCGCTTGATGAATCTTTGTGATATGGCGTGTGATGCTGTGTGTCAATAAGTTTAATTATGGTGATATAAAGTATCTATGATGGACCGACTTCATTTTTGACAGGCAGTAAAAGACATACTGTCACAGTTGGAAATATGCCAAATGCAGCAAGCTATAGAGCAGAGACGCCTGAGAGGAAACCAGTCTCAAATTGATAGAGTATCACCGTTTTGGTGTTAACTATTTGGCGGAGACTGCTACTCCCGCATTGGACTTTACAGACATAGGATACGCCGTTCCCAAAACCAGGGACATAACTCCATGGTCTCCAGGGACTGATGGTTGCCTACTAGGTATGTCATCAGCATAACATAGGCTGCCTATTTTATGACCATCAACCACAATACCTAGCATATTCATGATAGATCTTAATATATATTAACTGTGGGATGAAAACAAATCTGTTGATGGTACACATACATGCCTTTAGGCTCTGAAAATGCCAGTAAATTGTTGTTAATTCGTATAGCTGCTGTTTGCTTTTGCTTTCTTTATTATTCGTAGAACTTTTCCATCAATGTTTAATTTTTCTAATAGTAGTTTTATTACTTCTTAGTGTTTTACACAGTCAAGTGCTTTCATGAAGTAAATGAAGCCAAAGTACAGATAGGGTTTTACTTCTACAGCTCTTTCCGACAATTCTGAGAGTGTATGCGACATTGTTGTATCTTTTCCTCCTATAAATCCACATTGTTCTTCACTAATTTCTGGTTTAATCGTGTTTCTTATTCTCCTCGTAATTATTTTCATTAACAATCTGTCACATGACTCGTCGATGGTCTTCATATGTAAAATGCCTGGTTTCTTTGACAGAGCAATAAATATGGATTTTAAACATAATTACATATCTGGAAACATCCGATTTTAAAACAATTGGTTTTAATTGTAAATGTGGGCACCATGCATGTGTTCGATTATTCGGAGAG